CCAGCCCCGTCGTGTTTCTTTTAATGCTGTACCCCACGTGCCTGATCCGGTGCCTGGCCCACCGCAATAGGAGGTGATCTAGAAACATTTTTTGATTCTTCTAATTTTCCAAGAGAAGCTGGCAATCTTCGTGTTTAATTAAATCCTGTGCTTTGGAGATATTGACTTAATTTTCCTTTAAAAAATACCTCGTGGGCCAAGCAGAATATTTTCTCAGCCTGGATCCTGTCCAGACACACTTTCCCTCCCCACCCAAGCCCTCTGTGTACGCTGTGCTTCCCACAGGGGGTCATCCAAGCGGATTTTCCCAGACGCCTAATCGAGCAGCGATGTGCAGGACACAGGCAAAGAGGGAGGGGCAAGGACAGGGACGGAGAGAGGGAGCTAGCGGGGCACCGTCCAGGCTGGTGGCGGCAGGTGCTGCCGCAAAGCGTCTGTGGGTGGGAGGAGGCTGACTGTGGCGTTGAACTCTATGCAGACAGCTGCAGCTGAGGCCGGTTCCCTGCAGCACCTGCTGTGCCATGAAGGTCCCCTGCCAGCCCACCTGCGGGTCACGGTCACACACCTGTTGCGGCTCGGACACTACGTGGACCTCGAGCTGTTGGCTCCCTTTCTCCATGCCCTGCAGAAGAGCTGGGAGATGCTGGCAGGTGGAGCCGCCATTCCTTAGTGATGGATGCTCAGAGTCGTCAGGGAGAAGCAGAACCAAATGCGGAGGAGCGGGGAGAGCTCGGAGTGTGGTTTTCCCGGGATTGGAACGGGACCTTTGTGGCAGGTGCAGGTGGAGGGTGGTGCAAGGGTCAGAGCCGGGCTGTGGGGGTGGGCCTGGCTCTGACATTTCCGTGTGGGCTTATTTATTTTTCCTTTTAAAAATATTTTCCTTTTTATTTACTTTCATTTTATTTGAAAGGCAGAGAGAGGGAGGGAGGGAGGAAGAGAGAGAGAGAGACAGAGAGAGAGAGAGACAGAGAGAGACCATCTACCCATTGGTTCATTCCCCAAATACCTTCAACAGGCAGGGCTGCTCCAGGCTTGAGCCAGGAGCCTGGAACACAGTCCAAGCCTCCCATATGGGCAGCAGGGACCCAACTACTTGAGCCATCACCCAGCCCCCCAGAGTGTGCATTAGCAGGAAGATGGAACCAGAAACAGAGCTGGGCACTGTGATACGGGACTCAGGGGCTCTCAGTGGTAGTCTGGCTACTGCACCAAATGCCCACCGGCGTCTGTCCAAGCACGGCCTGCCAAGCTGTGCAACTGCTGAGGGGGGTTACTGAGCATGGGCTCAAGTAGGGCCCCTTGTTCAAAAATGATCAAAACTTCCAAGACAAAGACAGCAAAGCATTGAGCCCAGTGTGGGGTCCTTCTAAACTGGGGGACCTTCCACGCCCAGGGCTCGACGCGGCTGCCTTGGGCACAGGCCCTGGAGGCTGGCCCTGTATTAGAGATGCAAGGGCTGAAAAACTGCAGACTGAGTCCGACACTCCTGGCTCTCGCAGAGCAGGTAGAGGAGTAAGTCAATGCCTCCTCTAGTGGCAGCTGCAGGCCTGGATGTCGGCCACGGCCTTGGCCCTGTTCAGGCCGAAGCCAGCGCTGTCTCAGTCACCCAGTGAGGGGCTGGCTGGCTGGGCAGTTCTGTGTTTGTTTCTGAGCCAAGAGGTGGGAGTGCAGCCAGGGGCCAGAGGACCAGGTCACCACTCCCCCAGGGAGGGATGAAAACCAAGGCGTGTGCTACAGAGTCGTGAGGACACACGGGGCCTGGGAGTCAAGATTCAAATCCCAGCTCCTCTGCCTGGTGGCTGTGTGATTTTGAGTAGGTGGATGAACCACTCTGAGCTTACATTTTTTAAAAATGCTAATACCACGTACTGCAGAGTAGGATTGGCAGGACTGAAGCAAATGATGGAATTTGGCACAAAGCAGCTGCTCACGAGTGTGAGTCATTGTTGGATAAACTGTCAGAGAAACAGGAAAAGGGAATTATCTCTTTTTTTGCATTGAGAAGTAGACACAGAGTGGCAGATGGACAGAGCTCCTGTCCACTGGTTCACTCCCCAGATGCCCACAACAGCCAGGAGCCAGGAACTCCATCCAGGTCTCCTGTGTGGTGACAGGAGACCAGTGACCTGAGCTCCCACCACTGCCTCCCCGGGTCTGCATTAGCAGGAAGCTGGAGTCAGGAGCAGGAGCTGGGAATTGAACCCAGGGCCTCTGATGCGGCACCTGGGCATCTGAACTGGGGTCTTAGCCACCAGGCCAATGCCTGCCCCCGAGATGGAGGTCGGTGCTCAGACTCAGCGACACCGAACCTCTGCAACGGCTCAGGCTGGGAGCCGCGCTGTTTATCTCGCAGGCACATCCATGCTTTCTGCCTCTGGTGCCAGTGGGTGTCTTGCCCTCCCTCCTCCCCCCTGCGCTGGTCCTCCCTAGCACTTGGCCTCCTGTTCACTGGGGGCTTTTCTGCCGTGGGCAAGGGGAAGGGGTGGGTCTGAAATCAGCAGACTTTCTCCATGTCTATCAACTCACCTTCCACGGGAGATCTTGGGTCAGAGAACTTGCTAGGGTTATGTGCTGTCTGATTAGAAAAGGCCAGCGACTGTCCCTGGGCGGGTAGTGAGTGTGTGGAACACAGCCCTGCGGCCCTAAGCTTCCTGCTAGCCATGCGAGCTCAGGTCTCCCAGAAGCAGAAGCAGAGACGGAGACTCTTGTACTGATGATGAGCTCAGGGGATGCCCCGAGGAGGAACCTGCGAGGAGGGACAGAGGGAAGCAGGGCGTTGGAGAGGTTGACGCCAGCTTCAGCCCAATCCACAGGGAGTTGTGCAGTCGGATGGCCCCTTGGCGCTGAGCCCCTTGCAGCCACTGGCTTTGGGCTGCTCCCTAGGGTGGCTGTGACCTCCTGGTTATCTGGGAACAAAGTAGCACCTACTGGCTGAGGGTGCTTCCCCGGGAGATGGTGCTCCCACGAGCCTGTGGTTGCTGAGGCTCCCAGAGGCTGGAGAAGCCGGCCTGCTGCAAGGGGGTCTGCCCGGGGCATCAGCAGGGTCCATTAGGCCCCTTCCAGCCCCAGCCCAGGTCTGCCCGAGACACCCAAGCCCCTTCCCCTAGGCCAGTTTCTCCGGTTCTTTACACAATCGACTGCTCAGACAGTTCCATCTCCTGGCCCAGGCCTGGTAGACTGGGATGAGTACTGGACAAGGAGTCCACTCCTGGGATGTTAAATGCACCAAGAACACTTAGGGCCCAAGCTGAGGCTTTTGGGGTCGGGGTCCGGGTGTGCACCACCGAATGCTGCCGGAGATGGCGGGCGGCCGAAGGGCAGCAGAGTTCAGAGATCAGAGTTCCTGGGAGCTGTGAGGGGTCTGTGTCCCTTGCCCCAGACCCTCCTGCCTCCCGGGGTCTGCCAGGGGTGGCGTTTTCCCAGCTGCCTTGAGTGCAGGATTCCAGGCAGCAGAGGCAGCCTAAGCCCTGGGGGCCGGAGGCTGTCTGTGCGCGGCAGGGGCTGGAGAGAGCCCGGGAGGGGGCCCTCGGGGGCCCCAGGAGAGCTGCTCAGCTCTCACACAGGCGGTGACGAGACATTAGGGCTCTCTTCAGCGAATTTCCTTGGCTGCAGGAGCCAGCGCTGCTGTCTGTTTTTGAAGCAGAAGCACTGAAATGGGCTTGTGCATCTGGGAGCTCACGTGAGCTGCTCAGTAGCGGGTGATGTGTCTTTGGGGTAAGGGGTCTCCTGTCCCTCGCGTGCAGCCCCAGCCCCCTCGAGCCTCCTGCACGCTCACGTTGCATCACTCCAGGGGCTGCAGGGGTAGGAAAGGGAGTTTGCTCTGGGTTCCTGCCGCTTCACAGGAAGCAGGACTGTGCTGTAACAAGACCCGCAGGGAATCAGCACACTGGCCGTGCCCGTCTGCTTTCTCGTGCTTCTTAAATAATCGATGCCACCTCCTCGGGCTCTGGCCCCACACTCCTCGGGGCAGCCTTCCAGGGGGAGGCTTGGAGAGAACACAAACCTGGCCCAGTTCAGCTGGACAGGCCGAGTGTCAGTGCAGACCCGCTCACGCGTTCAGCAGGTATTTATTAAGTGCCTGCTGTATGCCAGGTACTAAGCTAGATGGTGGCGATGAAGGAGCAAAGAAAACAGAAGTTCTGCCAGGTGTTGCAGTTCTGGTGGGGGAATTCAGACGCTAAGGAAACAACACAATATAAAAAAGTTTTTAAAAATAGTATATATTGGCCGGCGCCACGGCTCACTAGGCTAATCCTCCGCCTGCGGTGCCAGTACCCTGGTTCTAGTCCCGGTTGGGGCACCGGGTTCTAGTCCCGGTTGCTCCTCTTCCAGGCCAGCTCTCTGCTGTGGCCCGGGAGTGCCCAGGTCCTTGGGCCCTCACCCGCATGGGAGACCAGGAGGAAGCACCTGGCTGCTGCCTTCGGATCGGCGCCGCAGCGCACCGGCCATAGCAGCCATTTGGGGGGTGAACCAACGGAAGGAAGACCTTTCTCTCTGCTCTCTCTCTCTCACTGTCTAACTCTGCATGTCAAAAAAAAAAATAGTATATATTTGAGTGGTATTAAGTAGAGTCAGAGTGGAGGGAAACAGAGGGGACATCATGGAGAAGCTGCTGCTTTACCTTGAGTGGTTGGAAGGATACAAAGGAGCCAGTAGATGGGACCCCAGTTAGAAACAGTGCATTCCATTGTGGGATTTCGCTACGAGTTTATAGCTGCTCTTGCCCAGGGAGAGAACTACGCCCGATGAGGGATGAGGGATGTGTTCATTCGTTCCTCTACGATATCTGTTTTACCGCACACACACAGGTCCACAGGTGCGGCAGCACGCTTCATGAAGTCGGTGGGAAATGGAATGAAAAGATGAGCTTCATTTTGGTGCCAAAGGTTTTCTGAGATCTGGGACAGGTGTTTGGTGCAGCAGTTCTGAGGCCATTTGGAAGCCTGCATCCCACACTGGAGTGCCTGGCTCTGGTCCCCACTCTCTGCTCTCCATTCCAGCTTCCTGTGAATGTACACTCTGGGTGCTGGCTGTCGCTCCCCGTCTTCGTGGAGGAACAACACAGGACCCTGCGCTGTTCTTTTGTCTGCTCGGCCCTCCCCGGGTTTGCTGCTGGTTCTTCCCGGGTTGGCTACTATCCCTTCCACCTCCGTGGAAGGGCGGTTCCCCCTGCCACTTTCCCCACTTCCGCGGGGGAGCGGCACACCGCCGGCCGGCTCTCTCGGGGGCTGCACAGGTATTCTTTCAGATAGATGTTCCTGGTGCATGTTGTCTCTCTCCTCCTTTATAGTCCTCTTCCACCAATCCCAACTCTGCTACCCACACGCCGAGTACGCTGCTCTCCTCCAATCAGGAGCAGGTCCTGCTGTTTATTGGTTGAACTGGAGGCAGCTGTGTAGAAGCTGTTTCCTCCTCTCCCAGCGCCATATTGTGGGAGAGCTGATGCATAGAATAAGTCTTAATTCCAGTAACTTAGTCTAGTCCGAGTTGCTCCCAGTTGCTCCCCACAGCTGGCAGGTGACGGCTCAAATTCTTGGGTCCCTGCCATCCACGCAGGAGCCCTGGATGGAGTCCCAACCCCTGGCTGCTGCCCTGGCTGCTGCAGGCATTTGGGGAGTGAACCAGCAGATAGATAGAAGGTCGATCTCTCTCTGAGATGAATAAAGATTTCTTTAAATTTTGAAACTGATGCATGTGGAAAAATTCATATCATGAAAGCTACACATGGATTTCAAGAACTTTTTGCACCAAAATTTTGAATTCCATTTTTCACAAACTTTTAGAAGTCTCTTCCTATCTATTTTATGACTTCATGTTATATACCTGAATATATACAATAAAATTTGTTTAAAAAATGAACAATTGAAAAATCAGTTGAGTGGTCAGGGAGGCCTCTGACAGATGATTTTTTTAAAGATTTATGTATTTATAGGGGCCGGCGCTGTGGCTCACTTGGTTAATCCTCCGCCTGCAGCACCGGCATCCCATATGGGTGCCAGGCTCTAGTCCTGGTTGCTCCTCTTCCAGGCCAGCTCTCTGCTGTGGCCCGGGAGGGCAGTGGAGGATGGTCCAAGTGCTTGGGCCCTGCACCCGCATGGGAGACCAGGAGGAGGCACCTGGCTCCTGGCTTCAGATCAGCATAACTCCAGCCGTGGTGGCATTTGAGGGGTGAACCAACAGAAAGAAGACCTTTCTCTCTGTCTGTCTCTCTCTCTCTCACTGTCTAACTCTGTCTAAATCTTTTTATTTATTTATTTGAAAGCATGATAGACCAAAAAAAAAAAAAAAAAAAACCAACTTCCATCCACTAGTTCACTCCCCAAATGGCTGCAACAGCTAGGGCCGGGACAAGCTGAAGCCAGGAGCTGGGGACTCCATGGGGGTCTGCTACACAGTGGCAGGGGCCCCCGCACTTGGGCCACCTTCCACTGCCTCCTGAGGTGCGTCAGCAAGGGGCTGGATCCTTCGAGAACGGGCCCGGAGGTGGGGAGAGTGAGCCGAGCAGTCGTGTGCAGGAAGGTGCCGGGCTGAGGAAGAGCAAGGGAAATGCCCTTGGGATGTAGAGGAGACAGAGGAAGGCCTGGGGGCAGGGAAGAGGGGTGCGCAGAATATATACACACATCCAGAATGCATTACACATTCTTTAAATCATTTCATATTTCAATTATCGCAGGTTTTACTCTAGGAGGACAGCTGCTATGAACAGCCCGAACGTGTCTGGGTACACAAGCGGTTGTTGTTGGGTGTAGACGTAAGGAGAATTCTTGGGCCATTGAGTAGACAAATGTTTGGCTTTAATGGATGCTGCCACACAGTTTTCCAGGGTGCTGGTGCCATTCGCTCAGCCTTATTGAGATATAATTCCCATAGCGTATGAATCACCCGCTTAAAGTGAGCCATCTGGTGACCTGTAGTAGATCTGTAAGCCTGGACGTCCACCGCCACCATCGATTTTAGGACATTTTCATTATTCCCTGGAGGCTCTTGCACCTCCCTACCTCCCTCGGCCCCTGGACAACCATGGGTTTACTCTTCATCTCTTACAGATGGAACCCGCTGTGCGCACATCAGTGCCCCATCCCTTACGACGTAACAGCTCTGCGCACGTCAGCGCCCCATCCCTTATGACGTAACAGCTCTGCGCACGTCAGCGCCCCATCCCTTACAACGTAACAGCTCTGCGCACGTCAGCGCCCCATCCCTTATGACGTAACAGCTCTGCGCACGTCAGCGCCCCATCCCTTATGACGTAACAGCTCTGCGCACGTCAGCGCCCCATCCCTTATGACGTAACAGCTCTGCGCACGTCAGCGCCCCATCCCTTATGACATAATAGCTCTGCGCACTTACGTCAGTGCCCCATCCCTTATGACGTAATAGCTCTGCGCACGTGAGTGCACCCCTGCACTGCGTGGCCTTTCACGTCTGGCGTCTTCCCCTTACGAGGTCTCCAGGTCCGTCGTCTGCGCCTGCCTCAGGGCTGGGCACCACCGCACACCACACCCGGTCTACACGTTCCTCGGTTGGTGAGCGGTGGTTGTCTCCGCTCTGTGGCTGCTGTGAGGAAGGCGGCTATGCACATCTGCTCTCGCGTCTCTGGGACGCGAGTTTTCGTTTCTGCTGGTAGATCCCTCAGCGTGAGATGGGTGGGCCACGTGGTCCCTCCCTAATCCTGCTGGGACTACTTTTCCAAGCTGGGGGATGCTTTCCGGCTCTTTCTGGCCTCTGCGGGGAGCAGAGACTGACATGGGACCAGGACAGGTGCGAGGAGACCACGGAGGCTGTGACAGTGCAGGCGCGGGACGGGCTGTTGAGGTCAGGCAGACTCTAAATCTACCCAAACGACCAAGCCAGGAGGATGCAGGTGGAGGGGTTGCATGACAGGCTTCAGAAAATCCTGGATTTGAGGAGGGAACTCTGACTTGGGCCCTCCTGGACACGTGGCCTTGTGGCAGCCATGAGGAGGAAGACCCTGGGTGTGAGGGAGGTGCTCTCGGCTCTCGTCCACTTCCTGCCACTGGACAGCCATGACTTCCAGCAGAGCCCAGGGTTCCTCACCTGGGACAGGGACACGCTGCATGGGGTTTGCTTTCTTCCCTGTGTCCCCCGTGCACAGGGCCTGCAGTAGGGACCTGAGAAGTGACAGGAGACCACATGCCGAGGTGACACCCTGTCTGGGTTGCTGTTTTGCAGGGACACAGGACTCAGCCGCCATGACCGACACCGTGGTCAGCAACAGCTCCAGCCGTTGGATGTGCCCCAGTGACCGGCCCCTTCCAACCAAGTAAGTCCCGGTGCCTGTGTTGAGTCAGTGGGGGCCTGACGGTTCCACACTTGAAAGAATGAGGGGAGGGGCAGCGAGGAGAGCATTGGAGTTTCCTGCCCTGCGGTGGGAGAGAAGGAGCCGCTGCAAGCTGTGCCACGCAGGCTCGGCCTGGCCTCGCTGCTTTGCCAGTTTGGTATAAGAAGATCCGGTTCTCCATGCCCCAGACAACAGGGGGTGTTGGGGAGCACGAAGGCCCCGGGGTGAGAGCCACGCCCGGGCTCTGGCTCTGGGCTCCAGCGGATTTGCTCTGGCCACAGGCAGACCACTCCCTCTCGTTGGGCCTCCGTTGGCAGCATCAATCAGACAAGGAAGCCAGACAACACCAGAGGTTACACACAGGCAGGACGCGAGCTGCAGAAATGGGTTTATGACGTGAGGCCTAATTATGTAAAACTTAGGAGAGTTCACCCGAAAGGCCAGATTTACGGCATTTCTCAAAAACTTTCACCGTGGGAGCCCGGTTTTACCATGCCAGCAGGGCAGCAGGAGTTTGACCAGCTGCTGATCTCCTTGCACTGGCGCGAGCTCTGCGGTTTTCCACAGGCCCCACCATTCCCTGTTGTGTCTCCAGCACCTAACCTACGTGGGACATTTAAGTTCCCACTCATCCCTTTTGGTTTCCATGGAACCAGCGACCTCTCAGTCTCCTGAACTCTGCCCTATGTGGCTTCTGTGCCAGACAGAACCCCGCAGCCCCCTTCAGAGTGACTGAGTGAGAACGTGCTCACTTTATTGGAAGGGATAAACGGCAGGGGACGAGATTTGCTCCTGACTGTGGAACGATTTCTGACAAAGATCATCTATGACCAGAGAGCAGAATGTCCCGGGACTTGGTCATTTAAACAACACTCCCAAATGGCGGCCATGGCCGGCGCACTGCGCTGATCCGAAGCCAGGAGCCAGGTGCTTCTCCTGGTCTCCCATGCAGGTGCAGGGCCCAAGCACCTGGGCCACCCTCCACTGCACTCCCGGGACACAGCAGAGAGCTGGCCTGGAAGAGGAGCAACTGGGACAGAATCCGGCGCCCCAACTGGGACAAGAACCCGGGGTGCTGGCACCGCAGGTGGAGGATTAGCCTAGTGAGCCACAGTGCTGGCCTCTTTTTCTCTTTTAAAGTTTTATTTTATTTATTTGAAAGGCAGAGTGATGCGGAGGGAGAGACAGAGAAAGAGAGATCTCCCTCCGCTGGTTCACGCCCCCAGATGGCCACAGCAACCAGGGCTGGGCCAGTGTGAAGCCAGGAGCCAGTGCCAGCAGGGGTGCAGGAGCCCAAGTCCCCCGGCCATCTTCCCCTGCTTTCCCAAGTGCAGTAGGGGGACCTGGATCAGAAGTGGAGCAGAGCTCCCGTGCCTGGCAGAGGTGCAGGCCCAGCCCCTGCTCACTTGTTGAAAGGGAGCATCGCAGGGGACAGACAGGTGTTAGCGACGGATTAGCACCAGACTGAGACTTTCTCCTTGACGTAATCCCAAGGTTGACAAGAAGATTGAACGGGGATGTCTTTTTGGTCATCACCTGATATTAATTATTCTGTCATTCACTGTTTCATTATTTTGTTCTTATCTGCATTTCTGCATTGCATCAACCTTTTCCACTTTCTTGGACTCGTTCTGTTACTTCTATTAACTACCTGGATTGTATACTTCCTTCTTTTCCAATATTAGTATTACATATGCAGTATACAAAGTACCACATTCAAATTATCCCACAAGCTTCAATACATACCAAAAAGTAAAAAGAGAAGTGAGAAATAATGAAAATATTATAAGGGTACTTCGAAAAGTCCACAGAAAACAGAATTAAAAGATAAGGTCTTTTTTAGTCCAAAAAATTTAAATCCATGTATAGTTTTTTCATGAGAGGTATTTTCCATGAACTTTTTTTTGAAAGAAGAAAAGTTATAGGGTTCAGGATCTTGTCTTTCTTTATTTTCCCTTTTCAACATGTATTTAAAATTTTTTTCAGATCTATTGGAAAGGCGGAGTAACAGAGGTGGGGGATAGAGAGAGAGAGAGAGAGAGTCTTTCATCCACTGGTTTAGACACCAAATGCCAACAGCAGCCAAGGCTGGCCAGGCTGAAACCAGGAGCCAGGAGCTCCACGCTGGTCTCCATGTGAGCGTCCTCAGACTCAGCTTCCTGTTGGCCTCGGGGACCCAGTGTGAAATTTGCCTTGGTTACTGCTCCCGGCTCCCTGTTCTGAATTCAGTTTCCTTTCTCTCTTTACAATTTGCCTTATAAAGATATCTTTCTCTTTTTTTTTAAGATTTATTTATTTATTTGAAAGTCAGAGTTACACAGGGAGAGAAGGAGAGGCAGAGAGAGAGAGAGGTCTTCCATCCGATGGTTCACTCCCTAGATGGCCGCAACGGCCGATCCGAAGCCAGGAGCTTCTTCCAGGTCTCCCACATGGGTGCAGGGGCCTAAGGACTTGGGCCATCTTCCACTGCTTTCCCAGGCCACAGCAGAGAGCTGGACAGGAAGCGGAGCGGCCGGGTCTCGAACCAGCGTCCATATGAGATGTCAGCGCTTTAGGCCAGGTCATTAACCCACTATGCCACTGCGCTGGCCCCAAGATCTCTTTCATGTCCTTTCTACAGTATACCTTTAAAGGAATTTAAAGTACAACTCGACCGTTTTAAGTGTAAATGTATACCCATGAGACCATCACTGCCAAGAAGGTAGGAACTTATCTGTTTGAGTCATTTTCCAATGCTATGACAAAATACTTGAAAGCTTTACTTGAAAAGAACAGAGATTTATTTGGCCCACAGTTTTAGAGATAAAAATACTTGGGCCATCTTCTGCTGCCTTCCAGGCACATTAGCAGGAAGATGGATCAGAAGCAGAGCAGTGGGACTCAACCCGGCTCTCCAGCTTGGGTTCCCAGCATCATAAACAGGCTTCACCCCCTGTGCCACAACACTGGCCCCAGTCTGTTTTCTTCTTAATAGGAAATCCCCATTTCTCAAGCCCCTACTTGTGATGTCTTCTTGGAGCCAAACTTATTTTCAGAGAATATTCCATCAGCCAAAAAGTGTGTCTCTGTAAGATAAACAGTTGTCTGCAGGGTGAATGGGGTAAAATATTTATTTTATTTGAGAAATGTCAGCTAATTAAAATCCCATCCATCAGAGTTTACTTTAGTTGACTTGAAGCCAAACAATTTGGCTTACAATTAAATTAGAATTATTCCAACAGTCTGGACGAAGTTTCATTACAGTGCTCCTGGGCTTCTGTGAAACCTCCCCGGCACTCTGCGTGGATCCAGCTGGCTTGGTTGCTACTGCATTTTCTTCCGAGATTAAAAATTATTTCCCAATAAATGCTAATAGGCAAATCACACTCATCACACGTGCTACCCAGTCTGGGGCAGCGGGGCCGTGCCTAGGCATACACTTCTCATGTCTGTCTCCAGTAAATGAAGGAATCGGGTTCTTAATTAACTGCTGGCCAGCCAGATACACTCGCTGCCTTCGTGCTGTTCACATGTCTTCCTCTCTCAGCCTTCTTCCGTCTAATGATTGCGTTGGAAACGAGCAGATATGGACGCACCTGCTCCTTGCTTGGCTTTCCATGCCGGGACCATGTGGGAACGCGGGCTGCCGACAGGTGTGGGCTCCAGTCTGTGGACAGAGAAAGTCAGAAATGGGAGTTGCACAGAGGGACTGCCTGTCTGTCTCTGCGTGCCCATTCAGTGGAGATGCAAGTCCCCGTTCTGAGAGCGAGAGTGCTTGCTTCCCAGACTGGGAAGGTTTCATTTCTCAGGGCTCAGGAATCTGCCCAGCGTGGTCCTTCTCTCCCAGCATCAGACATAACAGAAGCCAAGAATGATGGTGGCCACGCCATCATTAAGTGATTTCTCCTCCGTTCCCAAAAACATTACTCAAAAGCATAGGTGGTCTGTTTGGTTAATTAATAAACTAAACTGGTCAATTTAATCAACGTTGTGGACTGTAACCCTATGTGGAAGATGTGCTAATGACCTGATTATGGCTGAAAGCCACGGAAGTAGGTCATACTAATCCAAACCGTGTGGTCGCTGCCTCCGCTGTTGGTGTTGTTATGAGATTTCTTTCCTAACTGTATGCATTTTTTTCCTTTCTCTCCTCTTTGCTGTCCTTCAGTGATAAAGAACAGTGAGTATTTTCTGATGTTTGTTTTTCTACAAAATGAATTTCTTCTCTCTTTTCTGATCAAGATGGCTTACCTCTACAGACAGAAGGTTAAGAAAGGGGTTAGTGAACTTTACATATTGGGACGAGAAAGCCACACTTACTAAGAAACACACACCCAGCTCCAGGGGGAAAACGTAGGAAATTTTTCATAAACCCAAGTTTGAGTTTGAAAGGGTGGAGCTGCCCCTTGGGAGGCCCGTTGATTCTCACAGTGACCTCTGGGACTTCTGCATGGCCACCGATGGCTCCGCGGCCCGGTCTCTGCCGCAGTTAGACCCCTCCAGTGACTGCCCTGATCCACGGACGCTGACGGCGACCAGAGCAGAGCTCACGGCGTTCTCAGCGCCTCCTCCGAGCTCACCCCCATTCCTTCGACCAAGAGATCTGCTCATGACTTTCGTGTTTTTAATTGACTGCATTTCCTAAATACGCCTGACAGATTGGATGCCGGCTCGGGTGCCTGAGCCTGCCCAGATGCCCAGGAGCCACCCGCGCTCTCACCCCGAGCCGTGGGCAGTCAGCATCACCCTGCCTCCCATGGGGCTCTGGGCCTCTCTGTGGCCTTGCACTCCTCCGCAGGCAGTGGCAGGAACAGACGAGATACAGAGGGAGGCTCGCAAACCGTGAAGCCTCAGAGAACTCGGATGACGTGTGAGTCACCTGGCCTTACCCGTGGGTTTGCATAGACAGCACTCAGTGTAATTTGTTCAGATTTTTTTGGGCCCAGATAACTATATCATCAGGCCCATAACTCCCTAAAGGTTTTTTTATATATATATAATGCTTAAGCAGGTGACCCAGGGAAATCCTTCTCCCTGCCCTGCACTTCAGTTTCTCCATCTGTTGACAGAGCTTTGAGCAAGCCGACTTCCTAAAGACCGTCGGAATGCCCAACCGTCTCTGCTGGGGGTGGCTAGGACCCTGGCCAGGAAGGGTCTCTCTTTATAAAACCATGTGTATATTACTCAGACATGCCAAGGAGAGAAGTTGAGGAACCGTCAGATTATAAACATGACCATAACAAGAAGGAAATGCGTGGCTCCTAGGTCTTAAGACTCTTAAGCGAACCCGAGTGCTGAAGGTTGAAATGTAGGATGCAAGACCTCCCTCCTCCTCCTGCCTCTTCCCCCTCCCCACCTTCCACATTTCCCGTGCTAACAAATGCTCCCCAAGTACCTACTGTATACCAAATACAGCCAAAGTACAAGAGTAGGTGTAGTGGGGTCTACAAACAAATAAAGAGTCAGCTGCCAACAAATGAAGTCTAGTGTACGAGGAGCTACAATTATGGGGTCACTGGGGTCTGTGGGAGCACGGAGAGCCGCCTAGCCCAGATTCGGGAGTCTTGATGGGAGAGCTTCCTGGAAGTGAGGAGTACCTGGCGTCAGGTGGAGGAGAGACAGGGGAGTTGCAGGCAGGGGAGCAGCATCCTGCAAAACTCTTTCTTGGAATTCAAAAGCTAAGTATTTAGCACAGGTAGGTGTGCAACTGGGACTGTCTGAAATAGTTTAAAAAGATGGTGGTGAACGTTCTATAAGTGTCATTTCGAATGATACTAAACCATAAAGCAACACAAGGAGTCCAGCAAGCTTCACATCGTTCGTTGCCGTGGTAGATACTGTACTATTAGTTTTTACTGCATCACGGGACATCTTAAAACAACAATTATGTAGCCATCCCCTCTTGATGGACTCCTGGGTTGTTTCTAACTTTTCACTATTTTCACCAGAAACTGAACCCACCAAAAAGAACATCCTATGCATACATAAATTGGCATCCTGTATGTAAATGAATTTGAAGATTTTCAAAAAGACTGGTTTCAGCCATGGATCACTGGAGTTACAGCAGATGGTGCCTAACTTTTTTTTTTTATTAAAGATTTATTTATTTATTTGAAAGAGTTAGAGAGAGAGAGAGAGGTCTTCCATCCGCTGGTTCACTCCCCAGTTGGCCTCAACAGCCAGAGCTGCACCCATCCGAAGCCAGGAGCCAGGAGCTTCTTCCAGGTCTCCCATGCGGGTGCAGGGGCCTCTGCTTTCCCAAGCCATAGCAGAGAGCTGCATTGGAAGTGGAGTAGCCAGATCTTGAACCAGCACCCATATGGGATGCCGGCACTGCAGGCGGCGACTTTACCCACTACGCCACAGTGCCAGCCCCAGTGCATGATGTTTTGGTGGCTTTTCTGAGCAGCCCTCCATGAGCACAGTATGAAGGGCACCCCCTTGGGGTTGAGTTCTGTCTGCATCTGAGCTCCCTCAAGGGCGGTCCCCAGAGAGGCAGCGGCAGCAGCACCTGGAGTGCATCCCCTGGAAAGTTGTCGAGTCCTTGCCCCCAAACATCCTAAATCCAGATTTCTGCAGAGGGGCCCGGGAATTGTATTTCAGCCAGTCCTCCAAGGGCCTCTTGGGCAGGCTGACATCTGAGCAGCCCTGAGCTGCGTCGTAGGTCACCCGCTGCACTGCCCGACGCGTTGATGGGTTCAGCCCAGTGCAGACACTGTGCTCTCTCTTCCCACTCCAAGTGTTTTGGTTCTAGAGCAGGCGGTAAAATGCCTTCTCGAAAGGTTGATTTTGGGTAGGGGGGACACAAACAACTCCCCCTCCCCAGCAGTGTTCCCGCCCTCTCCCCCGGAGGCAGCTCTGCTCTGAAGGTTCATCCTGCGCACAGGTGTGGTGCCGCACTGTCTGCCCCAGACAAGCCCTAGCGAGCCCCGCTCGCTCCATCTCTCTTCTGTGCCCACACACACCACCAGCATTTTAAGTCAAGGTGGAGCTTTTGCTACCTCAATACTTTACACTCCCTACTTAGGCCAGCCCACTCTGGTCCTCAAAGTGAACCTTCTCCAGAAACGAGATGTCTGGTCTCAGCTGTTGAGAGGTCCTGAGACCCCGCCTTTCTGAGTTCCAGAGCCACACCCGACCGTGGCGAGGGGCAGCTGGTGGTGGCTCGGGAGAGAGGCGACGCTGGACCAGAAGAGGCAGAGTAGCCTGGTGGTGGCCCATAGCACAGTTTTTCTTCTCTCTGGGAGTTGGCTTTGTTCCTTGAAAGCTGTGCAACCACAGGCAAGCAATTTACCTCTCTGAGCCTCGATCTACTAAGGAGAAGGGTGACGCCTACCACATACGTTTTTGTACAGTTCACTGAGGGGATGTAAACACCCCAAGCTCCACTTGACGGGTGATGACATCAGTGTTCAGAGAGACGAAGGTGTCTTCCCCAAGGAGCACAGTGCCAGGACCGGAACACCGGTCTGCACAATGCCGAAGGGCAAGTGTCGTGTTTCCCTGCCGGGCCCCAAGGTCCCAGTAGGCTCTGAGTCTGGGTTCGGTGTTTCCAGGCTGAGAGACGGCATCTGGGAGCTGCAGGAAGAATTAGTGCAGGCCTCCTGCCTCTTAAAGTCAGGCTGGGCTGCCTGGAAGCCCCCAGTTTCTCTCTGTCTCCCTCCCTCCCCACTGTGAACAGTTAATGTCAGCCACACGCATGTTTGTGCAGGGGGGCGGGGAATTGAATTGGGAGTGTTGCGGGGAGGGGTGTCGCAGATGTCCAGAGATTCCTGAAGCACCAGCCAGGGACCTGGGTTGTGCGTTTAAAAAATTCTGTTTGGCCCCCTCCCTCCCCAGGGTCAGTGTCTCTTCCCCACTTCTCCCCATGAGAGCGCTCCATTCATTCATTCACGCACTCAGTCAGTCATTGGAAACCAGTGCCCGCTGCACAGCGCTGTCAGGGCCTCTGCCCACCCACGTGTCCCTCCACACCACAGTTAGTAGGAGGAAGAGGAAGACGCCGAGAAAGGAGAAACCAGAAGGAAGGATGCACGTTAATCCTTTTCTGAGCCTTTTCCAAGTTCAAGGATCAAGGCCAAGCGCTTTATGTGTGTGATCTAATGAATCCTCGGAGGGACCCTGTGGGGTCACAGCTGGGCACAACGTAGCTCTGAGACACTGAAGAGCTGGTATGTGAGCTCACACAACCAGGCCCGGGCAGAGCCAGGAGAGGAATCCAGGCCGGGTGACCCCAAGGCCCATTCCCTGTGCGCCCCCGGAGGTTGGCCGGGGAGTCTTCAGAGGAACCCAGGGGTGTGTCTCCAAGGCTGTGGACCGCCCGCAGCCACCTGGTTTACCTCGCTACTCAGTGAGAGCCAGGGTGCAAAACTCCGCCTCTCGGAATCCCGGAGCCCGCCTGACTGCTCGGTGTGCCTCTGAGCTGGCCCCCCCACGGTGGCTCTTCCACTTGTTAACCTGACTCTTTCATCCCTCACTGAAACGCTAGGGCATCCCAAAAGTTCAGAGCTGCAGCATGCCGGGCGCTCTCTGCTCGTATTTCCACACTTCCGCCCTTGTGGAGGCCGTCCTGCTCACCTTCCCGCCTGACAGATGGAGAGACCGACGTTCAGAGTGGTGCACACCCTGGCTCCACCGCCAACCCGTGCCAGCCCAGCATTCCAGTGGCTCCCCAGCTCTGCCCACTCAAGGGCTGCCCACTCGAGGCCCTCTGTGTGTTCTCTGGGTTGGGCGCAGCCCTCGAGAACTGGTCCAAGCACAGCAGCGCTGCCCTTTAACAAGATGCCAGCCCCGGTCTGAAGGACATGGAGCTGCCTTGCCGCTGTCTCGCCCCAAGGCCCCCACGCCCTGCTTGCTCCCCAGCCCGTCCTGTCCCCTGAGAGTAGAGGCTTTGCTTTGAAAAGCCCATCTCATTTCCCTCTGTTTGCTTTTGGAATTAAAAAGCGAAAATCCGCAGGAGGCTTGCGGATTCCCACTGAGACCAGTCGGTGACATTTGCCAACGCTGGATGAGCTGTTTGTCAGCCGTGTGCGTGTTGTGGAGCCGCGGATGGGGGCAGGGTCTGGAGGGATGCCAGCAGCCTCCGCCACCTTCTGCCGTCTGCAGACAGAGGAGGGGTCCTGGGCGGGGCTTCTCAGGGACTGGGTCGGCTCAGGCTTCTGGGGCCGGGCATGTTCAGCAGCAGGCATTTCCCAAGCTCGAGCTCGCAAGTTGAGTGGGGATGGGGTGGAGGCGTGGCCAGTTGGGTGGGGATGGGGTGGAGGTGTGGCCAGTTGAGTGGGGATGGGGTGGAGGCGTGGCCAGTTGGGTGGGGATGGGGTGGAGGCGTGGCCAGTTGGGTGGGGATGGGGTGGAGGCGTGGCCAGTTGGGTGGGGATGGGGTAGAGGCATGGCCAATTGGGTGGGGATGGAGTGGAGGCGTGGCCAGTTGGGTGGGGATGGGGTAGAGGCGTGGCTTTAGTCCTGTGGCTGTTCACGCCCATACCCAAAGTAGGGCTACATCCTTGGAGGGTCTACAGGGACCCCAGGCTCAGAATCTCACTGTGTTCAGTTTTGGTCACAGAGCTGCTTGGAAAAGGCAACAGGAGGAAGAGAGACCGTTGACTCACACTCCTCCAAGGAAAACCCCAGGAACCCGCAGGGGTAGCTGGGTTAGGTTCTGGGGTAGGGGGGCAGGTGGGCCTCACTGGGCAGGCATGCGTCATGTCTCCTGAAAGTACTGGGAAGAAAGATCAGGCTGTAGGGAGAATTGTTCCAACAGAGGCAGAGACTCCGTGTGAGAGAGTGAGGCCCCATCCTCAGTGCGTTCAGCAGGTTGGAAGGACACATGCGGGGGGCGCCCTGGCAGACTTCCGGATGATCACTGGGGGTCCCCTGGGCACTGCTGTGGCCTGCAGAACACAGCCCAGGTGTGGGCACGTCACCCCCATGGTTTCATGGTGGTGAACAGGGTTCTGCCTCAGGAGACAGGCGCTCCAGGGTGTCCTTGCCGCTCCCCAAGGATGAAGTGGCAGGAACTGCAGGCAGCCTCCAGGGCTTGGAGCGGCCTCTGCCCAATAAAAAGCCAGGGCCCTCATCCTCGAGCTGCCAGGAGATGGCGTCTCTGGGCAGCCCATGCTGGCTTGGACGCTGGGTCTGCCCCTGTCCAGCTTCCGGATGAGAACGCGGCCCAGCCTGGTGAGAGCCCGAGGCAGGGGGCCTGGAGTGGTAAGGTCAGGTGCTTCAGCCACAGAGAGTGGATGCAGGCCCTGCAGGTGGGGTCTCAGGCCGGCCTGGCTCTCTCTCCAACTGGAGTGGGCTCCCCAGTCTCGGATGCTGCGGAACAGATCATCCCAGGGTTCAAATGGCAGAAACCGTGGTCACCCTCACTCTGTGACTAGGAAGTGGTACAGGAATGGCAGCTGCAGCCGCGTCCCCGGGGGTGGCAGTCACCTCGTGGTGGATCCACCTGCAGGGCCGGGCGCTGGCTGTGGCCTCTCGGCAGGTACACGAGTGTTCCCATGGCGTGGCTTGTCACTCATGACTTGGCCTTGGAACCACAGCGGGGCACCCAGGAGCGGTGGGAGGGGCTCACACAGGGAGGATGCGACACCAGGAGGCAGGGTCCCCAGGGACCGTCCTGTGGTCTGGCCGCCACTCCAGGCTCCTGGTCGTCCCCTGGCAGCTCCCCACCTCCTCAACTCCAGGCTGAGACAGAGACCATTCCTGCCACTCCCAGTCTCCTCCCCTCCCTTCCCCTACCCCCAGGTCAGCCTCGAGGCTGTGGATTCTGGACCTTTCATAGCTTAGGGAGCCTCACTTCAAGAAGACACATGCAAATTTTCCTGATCACATGACTATTAGCGCCCTCCCAGGGAGGGCCTGGCAGACAGAGGACCCTTCAGCCCTGCCAGGATCCCTGGGAATTCTCAGGGAGCTCTCCCGCCCCCCCTCCCTAGACCAAGGGGTTTGCATCCCCTCAGTCTCCCCCAGGAGTCGCAGGGATGAGTAGACTTTAGCATCCCTCTTGCTGGGGTGGGTGTTTGGCCTAGAGGTTAAAATGGTCGCATCCCATACCAGAGTGCCTGGGGCTGAGTCCCAATTCACTGCTGATTGCACTTTCCTGCTAATGCGCACCTGGGAGGCAGCAGGGGGTGGCTCAAGACCTTGGGACCCTGGTGCCCATGTGGGAGACCCAGAGTGAGTGCCTGGCTCTGGCTCCTAGCCCGGTCCTGGCTATCGTAGGCATTTGGGAAACAGCGGATGGAAGATTCTCTCTCTCTCTCCCTCCCTCCCTCCCTCCCTCCCTCCCTCCCTCTCTCCCTCTCTCCCTCTCTCCCTCTCTCCCTCTCTCCCTCTCTCCGTCTCTCTCTCTCTGTCTCTCAAATGGGAATAAATAATGAATTTTTTAAAGGCCATTTAGGACTTTGCAGAACACGCAGGACTGGGCTTTATTTTTCTGAAGGTGAAGGTCAACACCACCAGGTCCACTGTTTAAAGCGTGGCATTCAGTGGCGCCCAGCGTAGTCCCAGTGTCATGCCCCCATCCCGTGCACCGAGTCCCGGGTTCTGTTCTGTCACTGAGATGCCCCTGAAGGGTAGAGCTGGAGGTCTGGGCATGGTTTGCACCTGTCCTCCCAGAGGCACCTGCTCTGCGGCTCCCCCCCCAGAGGAAGGGGTGTCCTGCCAGGCGGCCCCTCCTCCGTTTTTTGCAGCAAGACTGGCCCCGGGGGTCTCTGCTTCTCTGTCCTCTCACTGCCCTCCTTCCCTGGTCTCCAGGACAAACCAGCTAGGATGGCAAGGAGGAGAAAGAGGGAACATGGCTTTTAATTCCCGACAGCTTCCTGCTGCCGGTGGGACTGGAGAACAGGGACAGAGGCTGGTGGGGAACGAGTGCTGGCTCCTGAGGACTCACGAGGGGACAAGACTCCTTGCAGCGCTCACCCAGCCCTGGGCAGGCCCTGGTCCTGGTGGCGAGGACACTGCTGTGCCTCTGAGCCTGGGACCAGGGCCAGCGCCGTGGGCACTCCCTTCTCCTGACTTCTTGGAGGCTGAAGCTGCAGCCTGCCTAGCCTGGGCCCATCTGTGTCTGTCCCCAGTGTGGCCTCTTGGGCAAGTGGCTTAATTCTCTGTGCCCCGGCCTCTGACCAGGAACAGGGACAAAAACGATTGTCCCTGCCCTGGAGGGAGGATGTGAGAAAACATGGTGGGTGCTGTGTGAGGGGTCATGAGGTGCAGTGGGCGCACAGTGGGCGCTGTGTGAGGGGTCATGAGGTGCAGTGGGCGCACAGTGGGTGCTGTGTGAGGATCGTGAGTGAAGTGGGCGCACAGTGGGTGCTGTGTGAGGGGTTGGGAGGTGCAGTGGGCTCACAGTGGGTGCTGTGTGAGGATCATGAGGGAAGTGGGCGCACAGTGGGTGCTGTGTGAGGCGTCGGGAGGTGCAGTGGGTGCACAGTGGGTGCTGTGTGAGGGGTCATGAGGTGCAGTGGGCACACAGTGGGTGCTGTGTGAGGATCGTGAGGGAAGTGGGCGCACAGTGGGTGCTGTGTGAGGATCGTGAGGGAAGTGGGCGCACAGTGGGTGCTGTGTGAGGGGTCGGGAGGTGCAGTGGGTGCACAGTGGGTGCTGTGTGAGGGGTCATGAGGTGCAGTGGGCACACAGTAGGCGCTGTGTGAGGGATCGGGAGGTGCAGTGGGCGCACAGTGGGTGCTGTGTGAGGATCGTGAGGGAAGTGGGCGCACAGTGCGTGCTGTGTGAGGGATCCTGAGGGAAGTAGGCGCACAGTGGGTGCTGTGTGAGGGGTCGGGAGGTGCAGTGGGTGCACAGTGGGTGCTGTGTGAGGATTGTGAGGGAAGTGGGTGCACAGTGGGTGCTGTGTGAGGATTGTGAGGGAAGTGGGTGCACAGTGGGTGCTGTGTGAGGGGTCGGGAGGTGCAGCGGGCGCACAGTGGGCGCTGTGTGAGGGGTCGGGAGGTGGAGTGGGCACACAGTGGGTGCTGTGTGAGGATTGTGAGGTGCAGTGGGTACATAGTGGGTGCCATATGAGGGGTCATGAGGTGCAGTGGGTGCACAGTGGGTGCTGTGTGAGGGATCGGGAGGTGCAGTGGGCGCACAGTGGGTGCTGTGTGAGGGGTCGGGAGGTGCAGTGGGTGCACAGTGGGTGCTGTGTGAGGGGTCCTGAGGGAAGTGGGCACACAGTGGGCGCTGTGTGAGGGGTTGTGAGGTGCAGTGGGTGCACAGTGGGCGCTGTGTGAGGGGTCGTGAGGTAGCAGACCCAGAGAGGACATAGCAGGTGACAGACACGGGCACCAGTAGGTGTGGTTGAGTGTTTGCTTCTTAAAGAAATGAATGCCACTGGTTCACCTGGCAGAACTGAGAATGTTCCTGCAGTCTCTGAAGCTGGGAATTCGGACATTTGTGCAAAATCAAGAAATTTTATAGCTCTAGGCAGGTGCTGGGGTTGACCTGGGACCCAAAGCCTCCAACCATCTACCCAGAGTTGTTCCCCTCCCACTGTTGGAAGCTATTGTTCTAGAATCTTCCTGAGGTCACCACCCCCTGGGTTCCACAAGCTTCCTGAAAATGCCACTTGTAGACTGCCTTCCATGGGCTAAGCACGCAGGAAACGCAAACCCCTCAGAGCCCTGGAAGGGAAGTGTGTGTGCCCCGTTGAGTCCAGGAAGGGAAGCGTGTGTGTCCCGTCATGCAGATGAGCAGACTGGGGCACTGAAAACTGTGGTCCTTGGGTTCAGAGGGCACTGGGGCTCACTAGATCCGAGGGGCCGCGGGCCTAACCACTCCTCCACACTGTCTGTGGGTCTTGCATCCAGCCTCACGCCTTCCCCCTTGCCTTTCAGGCTCCAGGCAGGCTGGTCCGTCCACCCCAGCGGTCAGCATGACAGGCAGAGGAAGCAGGAAGAGCTGACGGACGAGGAGAAGGAAATCATCAACAGGGTGATCGCACGTGCCGAGAAAATGGAGGAGATGGAGCAGGAGCGGATCGGGTGAGCCCCGACTCACCCAGTCCCCATCCGGGGCCCCCTGAGGCAGGAGGGCAGGAGGGCTGGGGCAGGGCCAGGCTCCCTCTGGGTTTGGGCATTTGTGACCCATCAGGCCTCCCTGCCTGGCACACACAGGACACCTGTAGCATGGAGGGGGGCGAGCTGGGAGGAGAGAGTGGGCTGGGGGTGGGGGCGGAGAGGGAGCTTGTGATGGGGACCAGGAGTTGTCCTGGAGTGTATGTGTGTGGGGCTGAGTGTGCGGTGTCAGCTGGTGTCAGCCGCATGGAGGTAAGTCCTGGCCAGTGCTGGGCGAGGTTAGGGGAGAGGGAGAGAGCATGGCAGAGACTCCTGTGAGAGTGAGTTTGCTTGAGATGAGCAGGAGAAGGGAACTTGGGGAAATGCGTCCTGGAGGAGGCAGCTGGCACATCAGTGAGGTGGCAGAGGCTACCCCGGGGGTCCCCCCGTGGCCTCTGTGGACCCTGGGCCCTCGGCTCTGCCTCCCTGAGCCCGTGTGTGCCCACCTGCAGACTGGGGGAAGCAGAGGGCAGGGATGTCCGGGGCTCTGGTCCTAGCCGGGGTGGGGGGGGGGATTAAATGGGAGAAGGGAAGGGAGGGATTCCGAGGCAGGCAGGGGGCAGAGCTTGAGGGAGAGGAGCAGGGTTCATCAGAGAGGTGTGGCCCGTGTGCGTCAGTGGCAAGGACGTCAGTGAGCAGGCACACATGTAGAGAGAGGGAGTGTGGTGTAGGTGGCCCGAAGGAGGTGCCCATCAGAGGGGGAGACGCGGTCCAGAGAGGAGAGGGCGAGTGGGGGTGTGCTCAATGCATGGGTGCAAACTGTGGGTGCAGAGAGGCCGGGCTGTGGCTCCCAGAGCTGGACCTCCAGAGGGAAGTGGGTGGGGGGCAATGCTGCGGTGCTGGTCTCCCCAGCCTCTCCCAGGCCCGTCTGCCAGGGGCAGCCACTGCTGGCAGCTTACAACTGATGTGGCCAGTGGGTGCCCCGACCTCTCTCCACGAGCCCTTAGCCGGGGGGGCTAATGAGCTTCTGGGGTGGAAAACAGGGATACGGAGATACTGGAAGTGGATGCCTGTGATTGTAGACCGCAGATGATCTCGCTAGGGCAGGCTGGGGAGATGAGAGAAGCAGAGACCAATGACGGACTCCCACCATGTTGGGTTCATGCTGGACCCTGCCTCGGCTTCCTCGGGAGGCCGCCAAAGGCATGGACACGAGGGGCTTGCTTGTAGGTTATTGGGTTTCCATTTTGCTTTTTAAAAACGTATTTCAGGAACAGATGATTCTCCAGGCTGGAGGGATATGTGCGTGTGCACATACCTGTGTGCGTGTGCACATACCTGTGTGTGTGTGTATGTGTGTGTGTGTGTGTGTGTGTGTGTCACCTTACAACAACAGGCCTCAGCTGTGAAGGAGGAGGGCTGTACATGCTACAGGGCGAGGCTGGGAGCCTGACCCTCAACAGCGCCCGCCACCAGCTGACATCCACATGGAATATGACTGTGCTTAAGGCTCTGTCCAGGAAGCCTGAGTGGTTTCCCCCATGGCTGTTGGAGCCTGGAACATAGGAGGGAGACGGCAAAGTCTCTGTGGAAGCAGTGGGTGGGTGTCGGCACCTGATACTTCCCCGGGCCTTGATTTCTTTCTGTATCGCCTGTGGCTGAGAGGTTGTCCCGGGTCCAGGTTCTAGGGGGTGAGGGGGGGGCAGTGTTCTGAGAGCCTGGCTACAGCAGGGGCTCTGCCTCGTCCAATCAGCTGCGGCCAGAGGCCCAGGCTGTGATTACAAACACAGTTGCTGGCTGCCCCTGGGAGTAAAGGCGAGGGATCCCTGTGGATCGAGCAGCTCTGTTGGAATGTTCTAGAATAGGACAGGTGGGGGGCTCTGCCTTGTCCTCCCCTTACGAACATGCTGACTGGGGACAGAGTCTAGTGGCTCAGAGCTGGGGTCCTGAAGTCAGACAGTCCTGGGTTCTGATCCCAGCTCTGACATTGACTGCCTGAGAGACCCTGTCTCCTATACCTACCTCCTTGTGCCTCGATCTCCCCGTCTGCAAAATGGGGCTAACATTAGCCCAGACTCTCAGTGTGCGTCAGCATACAGAGGATGACTCTGGTGCCTGGCCCGGAGCGCACGCTCGTTAGTGATGGTGGTTGTCTAACAGTGAGGTTGTAAGCCAGCAAGCAAGCTCATCTCTGATGCTAGCTAAAACCCCTCTTCCAGAATTGTGCTCCGAAATGCCTGCCTGGCAAACCCCGGAATTCCAGCAGCTCCTGGCTTTCCCTGAGGGTGGGGGTGGGGTGTGAGAAGCCTGGACCAGATCCTGGGTGACGCCCTGTGACTTCTGCCTGAGTTCCCAGGAGGGCAAGGCCAGTGGCCAGTGACGGGAGGTTCTTGGCTGTGGCTGCTCCCCAGCGCGCCTCCGGCAGCCACCCTTGCCGGAAGCATCGCCAAAGGCAAACCTGGTGCTATTTGTGTCGGCTGCGCTGGAACCTGCCCTAATTCCTGTTCCTCCCACGCTTCCCTGGGCGGGCCTCAGAGCAGAGACAGATGAAAGCAGAGGGAAACATCAGACCGAGGACAAGACCAAGAACCAGGGTCTGCGGGGGCTCCTGTTGCATAACCGCAGGCTCTCAGGGGGTGGTCCTGTGGGGTCTCCGTTCCCCACCCGTCAGATGGGTCAGTGCAACTCGCACGATCCTTCCTGCTCAGCCTCCCCAGTGCCTGGGGGAACGTGGTGGAGGCCCACTCCCCATTGGCTGTGCCTCCCCAAGTAAGCGGGCTCCTTCCGATGACATGAAAGTTGAAGGCGTCTTCATGTTGCCTTTGGGATCCAGACTTGAGCTTGGTGATGCTGAGCTTTCCTTTCTACTTACCTGAGTGGCAGCCATCAGGCAGAGGTGGGAAACCATTGCTCACCAACATGATGAGCGCTCGCCATAACGGATTTGAGCACTTTCCGTGTTTTAGAGGGAAGGAAACTGAGTCTTGGAGTGCTTAGGTCACTTGCCCAAGGTCCCCCAAGGGCAAGGTGCACTCCTTGGTCTGGCTGACCCTTGGAACCATGCTTGTAACTGTGTGGTGTCTTTCCCAAAGGCCTGTCCCAGGTTCCCAGATCCTGCAGAACTTGGTCATTGTAACGGCTCAGGTTTGGAGGGGACACTCTGGGAGCTGGAGGTTGGAATGCTGTGTGTGCCGGCCCAGTGATTCTCTTCCGCCTCTATTAGCCCGTCTGCACGTACTGCACAGCTGCTGCATCTGGCCTCCAGGCTGCTGTGGCTCCGAGAGTTCCAGGGAGAAAAGCCCTCGGGCCTGCCAGGAGGCACTGCCTCCCTGGGGCTAGCTTTGCTGGGTTCAGTGCCCTGGGGAGCCCCCAGCCACGCAGCCATCTGGAGCTGTTTCTCTCGGTGGAGCCCCTTGGCTCCGCCCAGGAGGAGTCTAAACCTGCGCTCCCCATTCACAACCCAGCCCTGCGGCTTCAGCATCCCACGGGGAGAGACGACGGGCAGAAGAGAAACTCGGTAAACAGCTCCATTGTGCCCTTGATGGGAGCCCGGACTTTATCCTACATGCCCGACTGCTACAGACTTTATTAAACAACTTGCTTGCAAGAAAGGAAACCGGGTTGTTTGTTTCACTTCTCTAGTGCTCCATAACAAACCACCCGAAGCTAGAGACTTAAAGCAACATCAGTGTATTTATCATGGCCCTGTGGGTTTAGAATTCAGACAGGGCTCTGCTGGACAGGTTTTCTGTTCGCTGGGTGTTGACTGGGGTCACTCACCCAGCTGATGGTGGGCTGGGCTGGAAGGTCCTGTGTCCATGTCCTCCAGGTGACCAGGAGACCCTTCTCTCTCCACGTAATCCTTCACAATTCAGTAGTCTGATCTGGCTGACCACATAAAGGTAGAAGATGCCAGGTCTCTTTACAGCCGGGTCTAGAACTGGCTGGGCATCGCTCCCACCACATTCTGTTGGGGAGGGGAGGCAGATGCCCATCTCCTGTGGGAAGAAGGACACGGGCATGACTGGCCGTCATCTTTGGAGACTCTTGTACATTAATCAAGAAGAAGGTGTTAATACAAGTTCAAGGAATCCAAGCACAGGAACTCAACCTGCTTCTCATCACACATGTTAGGAAATAAAGCCCAGTTTTCAGAGCTCTTCCTAGTCCTAACTCCAGAGTCTCAGGGAAGGAGCTCTGATTGGCCCGTCTCACCCTGGGTACCCACCTCTCATCCAATCAGCCATGGCCAGAGGCACCAGGTTATACAAACATGTCTGCTGGGTGATTCTCCTGAGCTGTATGAGTTGGAAAGACACACAGAGGGTGCCCCCGGGACTGTTCCAGTGTGAGAAGTCTGGACGTAAGTCTGCCTGGAAACTGCTTGCCTTCCGCTCCACTGCCAGTCCCTCTGGGTCCTTATTCTATTCTTTCTGTCCAGAGCCCCTCACAGGCCCCTGCTCCCATTCTCTGACTGCAATGGGACAGGCTGCTGGGTGGCTTCTGTCTGAGGTCAGCGTCCCTAAACGATGGGCCCCAAACCAGTAAATAGGATTGCTCATAAACCTTGGCATCCACCTGCCACAGTGGAGGAGGAGGTTGGAGGGACGTGGGGAGACCCGCTGCATTCCCGTGACCCCCCATCTCGGTGCCTGCACCCCCATCTTTTGGCTCCGAATTTTTCCAAAGTACAGATAGAGGCAGAAGTCTCAGTGCTTAGAACGTGCGGCCTCTGATTGGGGCAGGCTTCTTCCCGAGGGTTGACGCGCTGACAGCAGCAGCACAGTTCCTGCTTTCCAGAGGAGCCGGAGCTCTAGATATTCTGTGGGTGGGATCGGGGGCTGGGGGCCTCCTACTGCAGCCATTTAAAAATGCACAAAATGTTTTTGGGTTTTAGGGGGCTCTAAACCCCCCAATTTTTTTATTTGACAGGCAGAGTTAGTGAGAGAGAGACAGAAAGGCCTTCCTTCTATTGGTTCACCTCCCCA